CCTGCTCCATGTGCTGTTCCGCCCCCAGTGTGCACCCCTTGCTCTTCCAGATGATGGCTGTTCTGCCGAGTTGAAGCCCCTGGTGAAACAGGCTGCCTGGCAGGGGCAGCGGAGTTTTGATGGGTGGGGGGAATGCCTCCAAAAATGGCGAGAAAGACCTGCAGAGGCAAACTCTGAGTCCCTTGCTTCCAGCAGGCCTTGGCCTCTTCTGGGCCCGTGTCTGCTTTTGAGCGAAGTTGCCTCCCTCCCTTTCTTTCTGGTCCCTCTGAGGGGTCCAAGCTGCCCACGCTGCCCATGCCCTCTGCGGGTGAACCTGCAGTGTCACCTGTCTCTGGGTTTTTGATTTGTTTAATTATAGATGAGTTTTCTGCATAATTTATTCCAAAAGCCTGGATTATACTGTACAATTAAATCACATTCTGATCAACAACTTCACATATAAAATTAACAACCAACAACAGTTTAATCTATTCTGCTGCATCTGCACAGGGGCTCTTTCTCTTTTCCCCCTGTCCCTTTCCCTGCCTTCTCCCCTCCTCCATGCCCTCCTCTCTCCTGCCCTCTCCTTGCGGGTGAGCATTTGCTGCTGGCATCTAAGCTGGATGCCCCCACCTGAGGTTGGAGCTAGAGCTTCCCAGCCTTCCAGAGGGCCTCTGGATGATTCTGTTTCCTAAAGGCCTCCACGGCACCAGCTCTGCCTCACATATGGTTGGCTTTGCCCTCTTGCCTGACGGCGGCCCCTCCCTCCATCCCCACTCCTCTTGGTCCTCAAGATGGAGGCCTGAGATCCCACAGCTCCACGTGCCAGCTTCTTTTGTAATGAGCTGAGTCAACGTGCCACACGCCCCACGATCGCCCTTTGTGATCCCCCCATGCCCTCAGTAGGCCCTTAGATCTAGAGGATAAAGGTTATACTGTATAAATGTCTAGCCCTTAGGAGACTGTCCTAATGATTACTGCTTATCAGGGTATCCCTGTGAATATGTTCGAGCCTGGTCTTGAACTTCTGATCTTCCTGCTTCCACCTCCCGAGTTCTGTAATTTCGAGCATGTGCCACCGCACGCGGTTGAGGTGGGGGCATAGGCAGACACTCTACCAACTCTGTTATATCCCCAGACTCCTCCCCCATTACAATATTTAGACAATTATTATTATCCTTGTTGACAGGTGGGAAGGCTGAGGTTCCAAGGGGACAAAACTCTCCAAGACTGCACAGCTGGCAGTGGCAGCCTCTCCCCTGAGGCTTCTTAGGAGTTGCCTTGTCTAGGAAGAGAGGGCAGATGGACCTAAGGGAGCTGGCTTCTTCATAAGTGGTACAGCCCTGTCCCCATCTCACCAGGTGTCTTGGCGTTCTTCCCTGCAGTGCCTTCACTTCCCCCCAGGTCAGGCACGTGGGAGGACAAGGCAGAGTCCCCATCCTCTCAGGCTCACACTGGTCACGAAGTGCTGCAGCCCGGCTGCACGGCCTCCTCTTCAGACGCCCTCTCCCCTCGCCGCCTTGTTAATTTGGCTCTTACAAGCATTTAGAGATAAGCAGTGTCATTTTCATCAACGAGGATGGAAAATCCCTAGGATCTGGGCGCTAGCAGGTAAACCTCTTTGTTGGAGTATGACCTGTGGGCAGCACTATGTGGCCAAGGGGCATTGGCATGGGCATGGGCTCATGGATCCAAGTCTACACGAACACCAGCAAAATTTGATCCAATTACCTCTGGGTGAATGAAACTGTGCATTCTCTCGCATCTCTTGTTCTTCCAGAGCCCCCCTGCCTTTCAGTGAGATTAAGCCCAGCTCTGCCTCTGTCAGAGTTGAACTTGGCTTAGTGTGTGGTTTTTCTAGCCTCTAGACAGGAATGCTGCAGGCGTGCTCACTTCATCAGCCTCCTCAGTCCTGTAGAGCAGCTCCCCTCCCAGCTAGCACTGGCCACTGGCCAAACCCCAGAACCCACAAAGTCATATCTGTGTGACAATGAGATGGATTATCTGTCAAGTCCTTTTTAGCTCCAGGGCACAAATATTGTCTTCCTGATTTGGTTTGGTTTAGGTGAAGAGTCAGAGTAACTTGTTTTCCTTAGCACAGTACTGATAGGCAGCAATCTGAGTGCCTACAGTCTGCTTGTGAGGTGTAGGGTACCAGACTAAGGGCTAGAGCCACTGCTGAGAGGGGGGGGGGAGAGAGAGTCAGAGGGCAAGTGTGTAGGTATGTCTTGTGGAAGAATTTGACTTTGTCCTAAGATTTGTGTTTTTTTTCTAAACACTATTTTAGTGTTGAAATAGCCTTTTTCCATGAAATGATGGTGATTATATTAATAATGTGTTGTTTGAGCAAAGTAAAAGCCTGGCATCGGTGCCTCTTCTTCCAATTTATTGTCTTTTACTTATCTGTGAGATTCCAGAAACAAGAACCCATCTTCCTAGTAGCCAAGGTCCATACCCAGGTGGAATCATTGGTGAATCGGTAGATACTGTAGTTTGAGAAAGGCTATTAGCCGTCGATGGCTGTTGGGGCAAGGAGAATGGATTTTCTCGAAAGGTGTGGTCCCAGGCAGGATGGCCACTAGGATGGCCGCGTACACCCAGGAGTGCAGGGGCAGCACAAACAGGACTCAGTGGGTTATTTAAGAATAAATGAATAAGAAGGAAGGATAGAAAGAAAGAAAAAGAAGGAGCCAGGCTGGTGGAACACAACTTTAATCCCTATACTCAGGAAATAGAAACCAGAGCTACATATTAAGACCCTGCCTAAAATAAATAAATAAATAAATAAATAAATAAATAAATAAATAAATAAA